TTACTAGAAGCTGGGAAGTGAGAGAGAATAAGAGAAGTTGGTTAATGGGTACAAAGGAATTAAAGGGAATAAGTTATAGCATTCAGTAGCACAGTAGGGTGACTATAAAGTTAAACAAACTTTATAGTATACTTCAAAATAGCTAGAAGAGAGGATTTTGAATGTTCTCAGTGCAGGATGATAATTTTTGTGTTAGTAGACATGATAATAACCCCAATTTGATCATTATACATGATATGTATTGAACCATCATATGTACCTAATATGTACCATATATACATAAATATGTTTAATTATTATGTGTCAATTAAAAATAATTTTAAAAATAAAGTGAGGCTGTGGGAGGACAAAAACATCATTATTATCCATAAACTAAGTTGTAAGAGGTATTATAAAATGTGCAGGATGGAGGAATAACCTCCCTAGCTGACTCACAGATTTAGTCCTAGTCACAGAAGAAGCTAAACATCACATACTTTCCCTATATGACCTGGGTCCCCTAAGTATATGGCATGGCCAACTGAAGCAAAGAATGTGTGTTCTCTATGGCTAGCTGGCTCCGAGGAGGAAAGCAGAAGGATGTGAGCTGAACCAAAGACATCCTGTTTCTTCTCAAATTTCCAACTGCATCGTTTCCACTGCCTTCCCTCCCTGCCTCTTTGGAGAATGACTGAGAAGGTAAAGAGACAAGGAATGTTTAAGGAAAGACTCTCCTCCACCTTCTCCTAGTAAGGAAGACTAGGTCTGCCCCAACGTTGCTCAGCTTTTCATTCTCTTAGCTCATTGGGCTAAACCCATGATCTGAGCAAAGAAATCCAATGCAATCAGGTTGTCCAACATCAGCGTTGATTGGATTACATCCTCAGTGCTAACTACTACTCTTTTGGATGGACTTCTAAGACCATGCTCTGGTTATATTTGCTGCATAAATAATTACTCAAAACAAAGGAATGCACAACAATGATTTTTTTAATGCTCATAGAATGAAACAATGTGGATGTCTTGTCTCTGCTGTACCATCTCTGGGGCATTGGCCAGAGTCATTGGACAGCTGAGGGTAACTGGATAGCTGGGGAATCAATTGGAGGCATCTTCATGCACTTGTCTGGTGATTGATCTAGGTGGTTGAATCTGTCCGATGGATCCTCAACTACTGCTATCCGCTGGAGCACCTACACATCGTCACTCCATGTGGTTGGACTTCTTACCTAGCAACTCAGGGCTCTAAAACAAGTGTCCCAAGAGAACCAGGAGGAAGCTGTATGGTCTTTTCTAATCTAGCCTGAGAAGCTAAGTACTTCACTTCTGCTGTAGTCTATGCTTTACAAGCAAGTCAATGAAAGGGACCAAATTCAAGGTAAAACACATAATACCCCAACTCTTACAAGAGGAGTATCAAAGAATTTTCAGAAATGTTTTAAAATCTCCATAATACAATAGTTGTTAGTGTTAATTTTTTTTCCTATAAGGATTTGAAACTAGTATGAACAATACATTAATTAGCTCCACCAAAACTGAAAATTATTTCTGTTTCATTTCCTATGCAAACTATGTTCAGTTAAGAATTTCAACAAGGCATATCAGAAGATCCTCAGTGAGATTAAATGATAACAATAAGAAATCCAAATAAGTTGTCTAAAGATGCTACAATAATATAATAAAATCCCAACTACACAGAAAACATCCCATACATTGAATATAGTTTCTTATTAATAATATTTCCAGGAATAAATTAAATGAAAATTCTAAAAGTGTTCAAGTCCAAAAACGTAAAAATCCAAAGGAATTAATATCCAAAATAAAAATTAATTTCTCCCCAATTTCCTTTTCTGCCCACTCTCAGCTAAAAATTGTTTTTAATAGATTTGAGGTTCTTTCAGCAGCTGCAGGCTGGCAAATTGCTCAAATGAAATGACTAAAGTTTCCTCAGACCTCAAACTTTTTGTTAATTTAGTCCCAAGTCTTCCATCAGCCTCTGCAAAGGATTTGCAAATTCTGATATCTAAAAGGAAAAGATTCCACAGAGCTTACTCCTGAAAGGCTTTTGTTTAAAGGCAACTGCTAGATCCATTTAGAGAAAGAGAATGGAGTGTAGGTGAGCATTTGAGGGTTTGAAAGACATCCCAGAGCTAAATCCCCAGGGTCCTTATTCACACACTAATGTGCTTTGTGGATTGAACCACCAAAATGTGCACAATGAATCTAGGCTTCCAGAGAGCTCAAGACAGAAGTTCTAGGCGAGGTTTTTAATGTACCTCTGATCTGTACTCAGGTCAGGTTGTTAACCATTATGCCAGTTGGAAATCATAAGTTTAAAAACTGGCCCTAAGGGTGAGAATTTAAACAGAACATTATAAATTCCATTACTCTTATCCTGGCCAGGAGTTAAAACCAGGCATCCAGGCATCCCCAGAAATAAAGCTAGAGCTATTACAGACCAGTTGTAAATTATCTTATAGTGTCTTTTTTAAAGAATTCAAAGATCATCACTACACTGTCTCTATACCCAGTAAATTTAGAAAACAAATCAATCTACAGCCCCTAATGAAGTTAATTAAGCAAAATTTTGTTCTTATTACCTAGTGATGGTAAAAAAAAAAAAAAAATCATGGCAGAAACAATGGCATTGAGAGAAGGAGGTAAATGGAGAAACTTACTGCTTTCAGCTCTACCAGACATCCATCATACTGTGCTAGTGGTCCATGAACAATTCACTTAACAATTCACTTCTCATAGAAAGAGAAATTAGCTAATGAGAAGTTATGTCTGCCATTACGTTTACCTTATATCTGAGTTTTAATCACTTCTGATAAAAGAGTGGCATATGAAACTTAATAGCCTATTGTGGGTTAAATTATGTCTCCCAAAAAGATATGTTGAAATTCCAGCCGCCGGTATGTGAGCTTATTTGGAAATAGGGTCTTTGCGGAAGTAATTAAGATGTAAGTTAAGATGAGATCATATTGGAGTAGGGTGGGCCTTTAATTAAATATGTCTGGGATCCTTATAGGAGGAGGATAAGAGACACAGAGACAGACACACAAGGAGACAGAGACAGAGACTGGAGTGATGCTTCTCTAAGCCAAGTATGCCAAGGATTGCCAGCCATCACCAGAAGCTAGAAAGGAGACATGAAACCCATTCTTCCTCAGAGCCTGGAGATGGAATCAACCTTGCAGGCACATTCATATCAGATGTCCAGCCTCCAAAACTGTGACGCAGTAAATTTCTGTCATTTTAAGCCATCTAGTTGGCAGAAATTTGTTACAGCAGCCCCAGGAAACTAATGCACAATCTGCCTCCATTTTTTGATGTTTGACCACTGACAAGCTTTAATCCTCACCTCTACCTATTTCCTTTCTACTGTATATCTGGGAAAGTTGATAAAAATGTCCAGGTGCTCCCTCCGTTGGTACCAGTGGGAATTTTCAAACTACCTGCAGAAACCCTCAGCCCAGTCCCATCCACTGTCACAGTAAAAACCTCAGTCCAGTCTGCTTTCCTTGTTCTCTCAAACCACTTTTGGACCTGCTAGGGAGCCACCATGTTCTCATCAGAAAGCCTTATTATGCTAGTAATAAATCTTTTTATGCCTTCTTGGGGTGTGTGTGTGTGTGGGGGGGTGTCATCAGTCTTAACATCTGAGCCCAATTTTAGGTAAGGAATCTTTCTCTTTCTTCAGGATGGCCAAACATGGAATATATTTGCCATATTGCAAAGCTGATAAATTTTCAACATAGGCAATCATATTCCTGAGTCTTATTTGTGGCATAATTCTATCCCATTCAGCATATTCAAAGTTCTTCATTTTCCTTTCATCTTACAGACCCATGTTTCAGCTATGCTAGGGTTACACTGAGAGTGGGCTCTGTTTGGTGACAGCAACATCCAGTTTGTGAAGAGAAAATATAGTCCCTGGCTCAATCATGCCTATTGAGAAAAGTTGCATCTCATTGGCTCAGCACAAGCATGCTTGCAAAAGCTATCTTGATCTCTGACCTGCCCTAAACAACCTGATTGAAGTTGTCCATAAGTGCAAACTTGATAGCAATGGCAAATCACCTGTGAGTAAAGCTTTCATAAGCCCCAGTCACTGGCCTAGGTTAAAGCTACTTGTGATGTATGTAAGGCACAATGCCATATGCCCATATGTAATTCCTAGTGCCTGTGTTATGTATCTATATAAAGGGCTACCAGAGGAGTGGCTCATAGACTGGCCCCAACACAAATTCTCCAACTTGTTACAAATTTTCACTCTTTTACTTTATTTCTCAATATTCCCAGTACATACACCAGTCATTGAGGTCTGTGAGCAATTTTCTTCCTTTCTCAGTGCTGAGCAAACTGATATATAAGGTACTTCTAAAGCAAGCAGAAGTCAGTATTACTCAATTACTTTATATATACTTAAACACTTTATAAGTACACACACACACACACACACACACACACACACACACTCAAGTGTTTTTTTTATTATTGACACAGGCAGAAATGAGGCTTAGATCAGTGTGAGGGGCCAAAAGGCTTGAGGCAGTTTTAGACACACTTATCCGTCTCGCCATAGACAGTGTGGATCACTGCAGATCACTCCACCACCTCTGATTCCAACAACAGCCAGGACTCCCACTGTTGCACTGACAGATTTTCCTCGTGCAAAAACTAAGGTTTCACCAACACCCTATTCTATAATATGTCAATCTGACATTAATGGTAGCAATCACATGAATGATCTAATTATGGTAAAGTAACAATCATACAAAACCAAAACAAAACCTTATGTGAGTTGTAAATTTTTCATATAGAAACTATCAGAGGAAATTTAAGTTTTAGGATAATTTTTATTTTATTTACAACTTGATGAAACAAAGACTTTGTGACTACTTTGAAAGTAAGATCAATGTTGGAAAATTCTTTTCTATAAGATTACAGCACACACTCATTTTATCAGTACTGAAGAAATTCTAGAGAATCATATAACTTACATAAGTCGTTCTCACCTGAGCTCGTTTGGCCCCCACTTGGCAATATTTGGAGACATTTTTGGTTTTCTTCACTGGTGTGGGTGCAGCTGGAATCTAGTAGGTAAAAGCTAGGGATGCTGTTAAACATCCTCAGGACACTCCTCGCAGCAAAGAACCATCTGGCCCAAAATGTGAATGGTGCTGAGGGTGAGAAATCCTACCTTAAGAGATACCAAGAGAATGTGTGTCAATATATATTTAACAATTGCATTTGTAATTAATATTTTTAGAACATCATTTAATTGAGCATATGTCACACTGGTAATGCTACCACAATCCAATTTTCTTGTGACAACAAGGGCTGCTTGTTCTGAGTACAGCACACAAGAAAGCTCTGTGGCAGTTCCAGGCTGTGTGGCAGCAATCCTGCTGCTTGGACATATTTCTAGAAGTGTCTTTAGCAGAGACAGATACCATGTGAAGCCTTGGGTAAGCTACAACAGGAGAGTTGTACCTAGACCTCTAAGGTTTAGAACAAGCCATGTCATCTGCAACAAAGTACTAAATGGAGCATTTGTAAAGCAGTTCCTAATACTCTACTGGGTCATAGCAGAGTCTGAGCATCTGACTGTGGGTCATCAAGTCTCCACAGATAAAAATACTCATCATGTGTACTCTCAGATACACCAAGTCAAAGGTGGGCCTAGCTATAATCCACAGTAAAGCAGACTGGGTACACCCAGTATCAAACATGAGCAGGTCCGTAGGTCACAAGTAAGTTGCATGAGCTGATGGACTGTACTCTCATGTCACCTGCCATTGGTGAACATATACCTTTCCTTCACCTCACACCTGTAGCCTCATGGCAGCAGAGGGTGGGTGGGCAAAAGCAAAGGCAAATAAAGAAAGCTCCAGCTTTGTCCATGAATGAGTCTGCTAGGAATTTGGGTACACACCAAACATGAATGGCTGCTTCTCTGTAGTCCAATGGACAGAGATTCAGGTAACGTATCTGGCCATCCACTTTGTGTGGAAAGAGATGTGGCTTGAGGTAAGGGTACACCATGGGTAGTGCTGAATTGTTGGGCAGAGGCCTGGAAAGAACAAGATTGCTATATTGGATTCAAAGTGGTTTGGGGAGAGGCAAGTGGATGAGATGCATGGGAGAAGGCATGAGAGTTAAAACAAAGTGCAAATATCTTTCTAAAACATGTTAATGCCCGCCAGAAGCATCTGCTGCCAAAGAGACACCCATCAAGCAAGTAGACAAGATGATTTTGCTTGGTGCCCTCTCTTAAAAAAAAAAAAAAAAAAAGTAAATGTTAGTCAGGTTCTGTCCTCAGTTGACCCAGTGTTTATGTGATGTGTTCATACGGAGTAGCCACAATGCCAGAGATGGAAACTATCAATGGGCCCAATAGCACAAGATTCCTCTTGTCAAAAGTGACTTTGCTATAGCTGCTGCCAAATGTCTGTCACACCGTCATCAGGGACCAATGCGGACACTATCTCCCAGAAGGTCTGTATCAGCTAGTAGCTGCTGAAAAACTGGTCATATCAGATCCCTTCCATTCTTCCAACTAATATGTAATCTTGGACAGGATAGACACATATTCCAAGTTAGCACCTGCCTTTCCTGTCTGTAGTATTTCAGCAAGTACTATTACCAAAAACTCAAAGAATTTCTACACTATTAGGATCCTGCATAACAGCACCTCATTCCAAGGAATCCATTGTACAGCAAAGGAGGTAAAGCAGTGGGCATATGACCAAGAAATCTCTTAGTCCTACCACCTCCCACAGTATGCAGAACCATGAAATGTGATAAAATAGTGCTTTGTAAATGCAGTGAGTCATGAGCTTGAATGTGACACCCTGCAAGGGGATGGAGTACTATCCTTCAATATGCAATATATACTTAAATGGCCATTACATGGTGCTGAGTCCTTAATATGTGAAATATATGTGTCTAATGCAGACAACTGGAAGCAGCAACTCATTATCATTCACATTCAGGGAATTGATACTTTCCATGTGCACAACTTTAGACTCTGTGGGTGTAGAGTTCTGGTTGGGGACCACTGCTCTATAGTGTGCCCTTGGATATGGTCTTCATTAGCTGCACGTGACTGTTGAGCATGTGAAATGAGATATGCTGTTCACACGCTGGATTTCAGATTTGGTACATAGGAAGAACATAAGATATCTCATCAATATGTTTAACATTGATACATGCTTAAATGACAATATTTTGGATGCATTGGTTCAAATAAAATGTGTCTAAACCATCTGTTTCTTTTTACCTTTTTAAATGTGGCTACTAGAAAATTTAAAATTACCTATATGGCATGCAATATATTTCTATTGGACAGGGTTGCCCTAGAACTGTTTTGTGGGATCAGTTGGAAGCTTGTCTCCAGCTAAGACACACCCTTGCTGAGCTGGATCCCCTGTCCTGTCCTAATGACTCCAGGCTCTTCTCCTGAGGACACTTGCTCACTAAATCACTCCACAAGGATCTAATCTCAGGCTCTGCTAGAAATCAAAACTAAAACACTTGATGTTTTCTATAGGTTTGGTCTTCAATGCTCTATAAAAACTGGATATGTTGTAAATCAACAAAATAAAAACATACGAAGAAAACATAGTACAAACACAATAACACTATTGCATCAAAAAAAGTTTAAAAGAACCATGTGTTTAATGCATAGCATCAGAATACGATGATACAAAGATGAACATGATGTAATAACTAACATTAATAATTATTTAGATCAGAATACTAGAAAAACAAAATTTGAATCATAAAGGTCTTTCAGTAGCTCATACTCAGTTAACGTTAATTCACTGTCAAGTTGGGCAGAGATGTTTATATTTCATAGATGCTACTCCTGGGCTCAATATTTAAGGTTACTATTCCTGTTTTTGATAAGCAAATAAAAATTCATACTTTTTTAAAAATGTGGGTCCTCATAGCACAGGATGTGATTAGGATTCAAATGTTAATGACTTCAAATTTAAGTTATTCTCAAAAATGACATCCACTGGGGAGTTTTATAGTTTTGATCACTGTATGTACTAAGACAGCCTTTTAGAATTGTTATTCCCTTTATTTATTTCAAACACATATTTCTTTAAAATCTTGAAAGCTCAATTTCATCCAAATAATTTAGTAGATTACACAGTGATAAAATATTTTGGTATAAAAATATATGATGTTTGTCAATAGAAAAAGTGCATCCTGTAACTGAAGAGTTGATCTCTTAAAAGTGATTCTATAAGAATGTTACTGACAAGCCTGCCTGCATAACCTTATATTACCACATGATGTCCCTCTAACGTAAGGTTCTAAGGATGGAACAAAACCTTTGAAAGAAATTGTCAAAAGACATACATACTTTGCAGATAAAAGAAATATATATATTCAGTTAGAAGAACAAACCAACATGGATCTTACAAGATAGTGTTTTTAATGGGTGAATTTATACTGGTTCTTACATATCACTTAGCAAATAATGGACCTCTGGCTGAAGAGTCCTGGACATATTCTAAGGCAGTTTGGTGAGAACCCCTGGCAAGAAGTGTGAGCAGTTCAAGAAAGCCACGAGTGTGTGTGCACTTGAGTTTTCTTGCCTGATTTATCTTAACACCAAATAGCATATACAAAGAAAAACCTATGCCTGGAAATGCTAGAATGAAATTTAAGAACATCAAAGGCATAGAGAAATTTATAAAGCTTACAATGAGTTAGAGCAGATCAGTAGCAAAGAAAGTATTTAAGAAAAAGAATGTTGGATATAAAGTTATATACCTAAGCAAATGTCCTTTTAAAATGTTGTGATCATAAAAAGGTTATCTCAGCAATATAAAGTTTCAGAAATTTTTCTATCTAAAGAAATCCTTTATAAACATTCATGAGGGAAATACTGAAATCTCCACAAGAGATATGGGGAGTAAGGCTGATCTAATGATATCTTAAAGCATTTTGTGGTCTAAAAAACTAATTGCTAAAGAAATTCAAAAGGAGGAATTATTCATAAAAACCCAATTCTAAATTTCTAAAAAAATATGAGCAGGTTGAGAAGAGAGAAGTTAAAAGAACTACTCAAATCTGTCACATATTTTGTCTTCATCCTGACAAGTTGCAAAAAAAATACGATTTAGAGAATGGTAACTCTAAGACAGTGGTATCAAGTATTTTCTTCAAGGAATGAACTTAAATGGTTGTGATCTCTAGCCTGAAAAAAAAAATCTGAAAATGTTGACATTTATAAAAGTATGAAAGGAATAAATAGGGGAAGTCATTTTCAGAATACTGAATTAGGAGACAGTGCTTTTAAATCAGAAAGAAATTTAAAATTGTAACATTTGAGTCACTACACATAAAACTCTTGGCATTTATGGATTTCTATTTGTGGTTTAAACATATGTGATGAGTAAAATTTCTCCCTCAGCAAGACAATGACCATAATCCCTTGCTATTGTCATATTGTGGCTTTCAAAACACATTGCAATGCTGACTGTAAAATGCTGTTTGGATTTTAAAATAATACAGATATTGGTAACCTGCTATGTTGGCTAATCTCTACACCCCAGATACCACAGCTTCTGATAATAAAAGAATTTACAGACAGGTGTTTCTCTAGCCATTTGTCTTTTCAGAATTAGGTATCTCCTGTCACTTATATCTCTTAATGAGCCCTAGAACCAATCCCCTGGAGGTAGCTAACTATTCTCTTCTGTTCTTCCCACAGGACAGGTTTACATTTGCTACTATAGCAACCACTGCTAACTGCCTTCTTTCTGACTGTTTAAGCTTCTTCATAGTGTGGGTTTCCTTGCGAAGATATTATTCTAGAAGCTTTCAGATCTTGTAATCTTGTCTTAAAAAGCTTGGCTTTGTCCATAATAAGCCTTCATACTAAATAAAACATGGATGTTGTTATTTCTCCATTGTGTATCTCTCTCCTGGGAAAATGCAGGCATGACATGGATGAAAGGCAATTGTTCCAATCTTGCTCTTTGATGCTGAAACACGTGGCCCCAGCAGATGTCGCTATTCTTACCACTAGCAAAACATTGGAACCTAAATAAAGGTCTTTCCAGGCTGATAAAAACAATCTTAGCTTTTATAAGTCAAAAATCATCACAATGTGGAATAAGTAAAAACATGAATCAAGCGTAAAACTTTATTTTTAACAGTTGAAGTTATAGAGGCATGTGGAAGGTCTCTTAGGTAAATTCTCATTTTAGGCAAGTCATTGCTGGTTTATTTCCTAAATCTCAGTTTACTCATCTATAAGGAAGGATTACCAATTTATAGCACTTGAGGTTGTTATGAGGGTTTACTGCAACAAATGCAAAATGCCCCTCAGCACTCCTTAAATGAAAGCAAATTATCTTTGCTTCGAAAGTATAAACAAGCCAAATTATGAAGACTTCATTCCTTAGGTGGTCAGTAGTTTGAGCAAGGTAGAATCTCAACAAAATGGTGGGGCCTTAACATTTCATGAAGAAAGAAAGAAAGAAAGAAAGAAAGAAAGAAGAAAGAAAAAGAAAGAAAGAAAGAAAGAAAGAAAGAAAGAAAGATTATAACTGCATTGTAATCTATATTTCTGGTGCCTTTTCAAAGAGCTTTCCAAAGTTTTCGAAGGCTTCCTTTCTATCTCTTGTTGAGGATTAGAGTGTCTTTTCATCCCTGTCTACTCCCCATCAACCACAATTTTCAAAGGGACTTATGATTTGCAATTTTGATATATTGAGAAACTAAAATGTGATGTTCATTCCTCCCACTCCTTTAATTTTTTAAATTGGCTTTTAGTAAACAACACTTATTTTTAATTCTGAATCTTTTGTCTTATTTCTCAGAACAAAGATAGAGGGTGTGGAAGTCATGAGTCATTGATAAGTTCTTTTCAGACGATCTCATCAACTCCCCTTCACTGCCTGGTGCTGATCTGGCTGGGTTTGTCTCCATTTCTGAGCTGTTTTAGTTCATAAAGACTTGTTAATTCACATAAAATCATAAACTGAGTCTATTTAGCTTATGAGTCTCTCTAGTCTTCACATAACCTTTTCTCCTAGCTCCAATATTTTTTCTATATAGTTCTCCTTACACATTGGATATCTTCCTTTTGTCCTAGGCTAAATGAATCTATGGGAGGTCCCCAGTCCAAAGATCTGGGAGGGAGTTCCACCCCTCTCCCACTGATGTTCAACCATCATGGTCCCTGGTCTGTAAATTGGTAGTATGGCACAGTTGACTCAAAATTACAGTTTTCCATATATAGTTTTGGGAACCATGGTTTTGTGGGGGTGAGAGGAAACTTCCCATCTCCCTGATGGTTCACCACAAGGTCAACTCACAATAAAGTAGATTAATAAGAGAAAGAGGTTTATTTATCCTGCACCTGCACACAGGGAGCATCAAAGAGTATTTACCCAATATCTCAGTGGGGTCCAGAACTTGATATACTCTCCTTTTAGAGGGGAGAGAAAATGAGGAATATAGGCATTTCTGTTTAGGGCCAACAAATGTAGGGAGGATGAATAAATACTAGGAAGAATGAGTGGATGGGGGTAAACAGATTTACTTGTAAGTTAATCTGAGAGACAGGTATTATGTTTAAAATTATTTGGGCCAGGTCTGGTTGCATTGTTGAACTTCCTTACTGCAATATATTGAGATAACAGGGAGGGGAAGAGAAGTCAATTGTTTTTCTTGATGGGTCCATCTGGTTTACGCAGAGAGAGAGAGAGAGAACATGCCTTCTAAAGTCTGTTGATCTTTAAAAGCCTTTAATTCAAAATACTCTTTCTACCAAGGAGTTATATTTTGGGATAAAATTTCCTGAGCTCCTTCATTCTCTCTGTCTGGAACTTCACTAGAAGGTTCACACATTAAAAGCTTAGTCAGTAGCTGTGGAACAAGAAATCAGGTTAGTAGTCCAGCAGCAAGATATCTGAAAAAGTGGGGCAAGACATAGACTAGAATGAGAATGAATAAGTAGAAAAGAACAGAGTGAAGCACATTTCCCCACACCCCATTAAACCAGTCTCCCACTCCTGGGAATTCGTCTTCATTAATCTAATAGAAAAGAGGTGTAGATAAGTCTCTACTTGCTCTGAGCAGTTTACATAGAAACAGCATTTTTTTGCCAATAATCACACAAGTTCCTCCCTGTTGGACTGTCAGGGCATCCAGGGCATGGCAGTGTTCAAATACAACAGAGGCTTGACTTTTGACTTCTAACTAAAGTGCTCCCAGTGCTTACATGGTGATGTTGAACTTTTGTTCTATTACCATGGAGAGATTCAAAACTGCCTTTCAACCTCACAAGTTCCAAATACTGGGAAAAGAGTCCTCAGCACTTAGAATTGTAATATACAAGTAGGGTTGGTTTTTTTCATATATATATATATAATATCACATCTAGTATTTTTGTGTGGTACCACTTTATGAATGAAAAAGCCCAAGTTTGTAATTTGGCTGGCATTTAAAGTAAAGTACTTGGTAACAGAGGGTGTCAGATAACCAAGTCCACAGAATCTTGACCATCTAGATGGGAGCCACTTGTATACTTTATCACCACACAAGATAAAAAGACCAGTGTCATTTACAGATAGGGTCAGATTGGAACCTGTGACCTCCCAGCCTGGAGTTTGCTGTGCCT